ATTCCATATATGACCATCGGTAGACTAAATTAGAATTTCTATACTTAATGGAAATTATCAGAAATTCATATTGTGTATATGTCCTTGTCCCACATAATCTCATTATGTGTAATACACTCATTTAATATCTCTCCATATTTGTAACGTCCTCTAGAATTAAACATGTTTAATTATGTTAATTGTGTATATTAGTGTGCCTAAAATTGATTTTTTCTAATTAATCTTGTGATTAAAGATTAAGTTTTTGAGTTATTTTAAGGACTTATAAATTACTTTCAGTTTTTCAATTTTCACCCCAAAATTTTGAAAATACACTTAATTTTAATATATTTTCTTTTATTTTTCCCTATTTCTTTTCTTTTTCCTTTTTTTCTTTCTTTTTCCTTTTCTTTTCTTTCTTTTCTTTTTTCTTTTTCCCTTCCCTTCCTTCCCGTGGCTGCCCAGACCAGCCCTCTCTCTCTCTCTTTCTTTCTTTCTTTCCTTTTCTTCTTTCTTCTCCATGGAAACTCTCTCTCTCTCTCTCTTTCTTCCTTCACCGCTGGCCACCACTCCTTCCCTCTCTCCGGCCACCTCTCTCTCTTTCGGTCTTTCTCTCCCTTGCTCTCACTCTCTGGGTCTCTCTCTCTCTCTCTCTCTCTCTCTCGGAGTTCCCTGCCGAAACAGGGAAGAAAGAAAAAAAACCAAAAATGGGAGAAACTGAAGGGAACAATGATCCATCAACTAATTTGAGGTAAAACTCCTTAAAACCCACTTTTTGATTTGAATTTTAAACTTGAGAAAGTTTGATTTTAGTTAGATTTGAATAATTTTGAGTTAGGGTTTGGATTTGAATAATTGTTGTTAGAATTGAATTGGAGTTGTTGAATTGATTGGAATCTGATTTTGATGGATTCTAGAGAATTTATTTTGAAATTGAACTTAAATTGCAGGTTTGGCATTTTTTCTATTTATGTCGGCATGCTCCCGAAATTTCTTTAAAAAGTTATTTTTAAGCTGAAATTAAATAGGAAACCAAACCCATTAATTGGATTTCAATCCTTAAAGAACCCCCAAACTGATTATAAAATCGTTTGTGAAACTTAGATTTGAGTCAAGGCACACTAATAGGAAACAATTAAACATGATTGAGCTCAATTTGTTTTAGGAATGAGAAATATATCCTAAGACACTGCTTTTGTCATAAAGCTAGTAGAGAAGATCGAGTATTAAAGCTTTAAGAAAAGCGGAGGTTAGGGTGGCGATAAGTTAGCTACATGTTTGACATCCGAGAGGTAGGATATTTCTGATCCCTTTCTTTGTTAGCATGTTTTCAAAAGGTTTTGCCCTTGCAAATGTTTTAAGGAAAGGGCATGTTTGTGAAAGAAAAACCTTTTGACACCATAGCTTGATTTTAGCTATTGAAATTATAATGAACTATTTCAGAAAGTTTAATGAATGATTTCTTAAGACAAGAAATCTTGCGAATTGGTAAGCTCGCTGATGGCCTAGATAGGATATGGAGATCTTATCCTTGGGGGCAGAACCCGAAACCCGGACGTGCCACTACGGTGGTGATAAGGCCTTGCTTTGGTCGTAAGGAATTTAATTACTTAAATTACTTGCTGGTTGGCTGAAATATGAAATTTCAGTTTGTTTACCTTTCAGAAAAAGGTTGTTTGGTTCCGATTGATTATTTCGGGCATGACTCTCTCATTTTATTCACTTATTTATTTATTCAGTTTTATAAATTATATTCTACTAGGCATTCCGCTAACTTTTATTATGTTTTCAATGTTTTAAACCCCTCCTCCAGAGTTAGCGGTTTAGATTTACAGCGTGACAAGTGGATGCCAATGGATTGAAGGTGTGAGATTCGAAGCGGTACGTTTGTTTCGGATTCACAGTTTTAAATTCTAAGATGTATTGTATTTCTGTATGTAAACTGTATTGGTCGACATTGTCCCAGAGTTGTACTATTTTTCTTGGACTTTATGGACTGTTTTAAATATTATTTGTGAAAGAAAGTCTCCGAAACAAACTATATTGATATTTATGTATTTATTTTTGTGCTTTTTGTTAAACATTCCAGTTTAATTAAGTTAAATTTTATATATAACCATCGGTAGACTCAATTAGAATTTCTATACTTAATGGAAATTATCAGAAATTCATATTGTGTATATGTCCTTATCCCACATAATCTCATTATGCGTAATACACTCATTTAATATCTCTTCATATTAACAGAACGGATAACACTGTTCCATTCTGAATGTGAATGACATGCATTAGTAATGTTTTAATTAAAGATTTTGAATTTTAATTAAATTCATTACGAACATCATTTTAATTATTGTCTTTAAATATTATCCTTTCGTATATAACACACATACATATAATATTTAAGTTCACATAAATAATTATGAAATTTTCAGTGATATTTATAAAATATTCAATAATATTTTTATTGAATTAATAATAAATATCATATTACATCTAATATTTTAGGAAACTATTCTTAACACTATCCACTTAATAAGACCCACAATATATGAGTAGCTGGGCCATGTGATTAAATAGAAGTGCTTTTTTTTATGAGATCACATAAATCTTATATCCATAACCATCAATTTGATTACACATGCTAGACTTTAATTATTATTAATTATAAAATTTATTGTGTAATTTGTCAAAATAAAAAATTTATATTATATTATAAAAGAAAAAAATGCAACACTACGAATGCGTTTGGAATTCGTTCCAAAATGATTTTATTTTTTGTATGAAAATGAAAATGAAAATATTTTCAATCTCAGACAGAAATCATTTTTGAAAATATATTTAGTAGTTTTATCAAGAGTTTGTTTTCAGCATAAAAAAATCCAGTAATGTCACTCTCTGTGCTCGAGAGAAGAGAAAATAGAAATAAAAAATGAAAAACGACTAAAAGTCGTTTTTCATTTTTCTCTTATTTTACACTAAACTAAAAAATCGTTTTCATTTTCATGTTTTATCTTTAATTGTGTCAAACGTCATTTCTCTCCCGTTTTCATTTTTTCTTTCGCGAAAAACGTAAAAAATAAAAACAAACCCAACTTCAAACACGACCTACAATTTTTTTTATTTTTTATTTTTTCTTTGAATTGAAAATAAAACAAAAGGTAATGCTTAATGCGTAATACTAATTTATTTACAAGTTGAGATCTAAATTATTCAAGAGGAACACGTGAAATTATATTGTGTGGTTAAATAACACTCACATAAGATATCATAGTTGCTAGAATAAAATAGTTCTTACTGTGACGTTTGGTTCATAGATTAGAATCATGTAATTAGAACTATTTTCGATTTACTTGTATTTTTTGTGAGAGAAAACACTATAGCGAACCATAAACTATGATTCAAATCATGGTTTAAATCCTCCAACCAAACATCCCCACCTGACTCTTGAGCGAGAGTGTGAAGATGTTATGTACTTCTTTTTCTTATTACGGGAAATCTTAATAAATATTCTTTAAAAGTGCAAGTCTTAATTTTTACTTTTTATTTTTTATTAAGACCCTTTAAGTTCAATAATTTTCACTATTGTTATTAATATTTGCTTGAAAGGCCTCTGTTTATTTATTAGTTATTACAATGAAATTATAATAATGGAATAATTTTTTGTCTCACACTTAACAAATAACAATATATTTTATGATCAGTTCTGGTTTAATTATTTTGTACAACTCATTATGGTATGTAAAATATTGATCTATTTAAGAGAATCTAAAAATCTGTTAAGTACAACATTTGACGAAAAATTAAGGCTTGTTTTTTTTAGTGAAAAACTCAAAAAAAAGACAACTCAAATTATAATTTTATTCGAGTTCATCTTCTTTTAAGTTTAAACTCGAGTTTAAACTCGAGTTTAGAATTAAAACTCGAGTTCAAGTTTTTCTTTCAACTCGAGTTCAGAAACTCAAACTCAAATAAATGAATAGTATTTTTTCTATTCTTAAAAATGCTATAACTTTTTCATTTTAATTCTGATTAAGATGATTTTTTTTCTATGCGTTGACAACGAAAAGACGAATAAAACCCACCCATATACCCTATTAAAATTTTTGATCAGCATTGAGTTTTTATTAAAATACTATTTAAATACAAATTTAAGTATACAACCAAACACAAACTCAAGTTACAAGTTCAACTCAAGTTATAACTCAAATTCAACTTAAGAATTATACTCAAGTTAAACTCTAAAAGAACAATCCTTAAAATTAAAGAGAAATATAAAGGGCTCCAAAATGGATTGGTAAAACAATAGTAAACAGAATTTGTAAATTTTCCAGTGTGAAAGATCATAGATCCAACCCTTCAACTGAAAATAGAAATTGAACTTTCAAGTATAAAAGATCACGTTTAAGATTTATTGCGAAATTAACTCGTCTTATATAATCATATTACAAAATTTATTTTATATAACAATTATTTTGTTAATGTGTAACAATAATGATATTTCTTTTGACAATAAAAAAGCAATTAATTTTAATCACCTATCATATAATACTTTGTCACTTGAAATAAATATTATGTCATTCATATTCTTACTTTTACACGTTAACCGTGCAAAGTTAATCTTTCAAATCTTGTCGTGAATTAAATATTATGTCATTCATATCGCGTCTTCTTATTTTTACATGTTAACCGTGCAAAGTTGATCTTTCAAATCTTGTCGTGAATTTGTAAAATTGTTGAAAGATGATGACGGTAACTCCATAGAAAAAAAAAAAAAAGGTTTGACAAATCACTACCAAGTCACTTTTTTTCCCCCCTTTGTTAAGTCACTTGGTTATTTGTTTACCAATCAGAAAGACAAGATAAGTTTTTGCTAAGCTGTTATATACCCACCTTAATTGAACGAATGATCGTATGAGTTGAATCAATTTGATCAATTGATGATCTATGATCATAATTTAGACTACAAAATAATACCCATTTATTTACTAGCACAAAAAAGGATAGATAATGAACAAGGCTAAAACCTTACGCTACCTAGCGTCATATACTTACAGAAAACAAATGAGCAATATCCAAAGTCTTGTTCTACATCATATACCCACCTTACTCAAGACCAAAAATATAATGTACCAAAAACCTACATGACTAACTAAAGCATCATCTTCATCGTTCTCTAAATTATATTCTAAGTTATATTAGTATACAACAATCACCAGCCTCAAAAACACCAAAAATGTTGAGAGGAATATCAACCTATATTACTACATAGCAGGAGTGAGATGCCCCATTTGTGTTGTGAGATTATCTACATTATTCATGTTCCACCAATCTTTTCTGTGAAGTCCCGTTTTTCCATCACTACTCACTTTGTCCTCATTGTTCATGTCAGATGAGCCAGGGGTTTCTGTCAAGCATTGTTCCCAAAAGAGATCATTCACCTTAGCAGGTACCACCACTTTTAATCCGACATCCTGTTCCTTAGAGGCCTTGGCTTCAGGAGCGCCGGTAGGGCTCGAGTTCATGTCGATCACCGAAGATTTTGGTGCGACATCATTGTGAAGACAAGCGAAGAATATGGCATCAGGGCAAGGCACATCTGGAGGTGAATGGACATCAAATGTGTGTGGTGAAGATAAATGTGACATGGGTGAAGAAGATCTACATTTCATCTCGGCATCTTCTATTTCAGTAATAACAATAGGAGAGGCCTGCGAGAACGCACCCATGTCGATAAATTCGTCTCCAATTCCGTACAGAAAACTTTCCCAGAATTCTACTGAACCTTCCAGCTTCTCAATGTGGTCCATTTTCAATATGTTTGAAGATAGTTTTTCAATGCTTGTCCTTTTCAATTTTAAGTCCCAGCTTTCCTCCAAATTGGACTCATCACAAAAGTGGCTGGAGCTCAACAACCTTCTCTTCTTGTTGTGCATTTCTGACTCTTGCAAAAGTATAGAAGCAAGCCCCGGTTTCTGCACCAGTTCAGCCAAGTAGACAGTCAACTGCTTCTGACGATGTTCGATGTTCTGGAACCGCTCATGTAGCAACTGTATTTGAAGATCGAACTCCTGCCTCTCTCTTTCATGTCTTTGCAGTTCCGAGTGAAGTGAGTTCTTGTCGTGTTTCAGCGCCTTGATTTCCTTCTCGTATTCGTGCCGTTCTGTATCAGTTAAAGGGACTGCAGACTGTCCTTGATTGTTTGAGGAATGGCTGTGAACCGGTTTACGCCGGTGGATATTCCTCAAAAGATGTCTCTGTCCTCTTATAAACTCTTCATTTGCAAACTCCCACTGGTCAGGATCAATCTTCCTAAACCCCTGCTCATATGCAATACACAATCAAACATAGAACAAATAAATATAGTACAAACACTATTCACTAATTAGACTATACCAACTATAAATGATCTTGAGTAAACAAATAGTAACTGTTTTTGGATCAAAAATTATGTCTAATGTTGCTCAAAGTCAAAGAGGTTTATTAACCATATGAGAAAAGATACTTCCACATATTTTGAATGCTTTATCATAATATCTTCCGAAAAAACTATATAAGATTATCCTTATTAGGTTCTCAATAACAGAATTCAGCCATTTCTTCTTTGGCAAAAGGGCAGACCATTTTTGAAAAAAATGACTTATCCAGTTGCAAAAGTCCAAAATTCCCCGCCTAATCTCAAAAGATTGTTCAAAGATCAGATTCCTTTTTCATATAATTGACTTTTTAGATTATCAATCCATGATTTAAACACTGGACCACCTGCACTCTGATACCATGTCAAATGACCAATCCACTCCAAAAGCTTGAACTGTTTGAAGGTGGGCGCCAACAGTACATTACATTCTAACAAGCTTCAAAATCAAGATACTCATTCTCGATTTACAAAGCATAAGTCAAGTGAGAGTCTATCTATAAGTAACTAACCTAATTCGTTCAAATAACTTTTCATCAACCAAGAACCAAATCTTTAAAGCGACTTCTCAAGATCTAACTAAGCCATTCATGAAGAACAAACTGTAATTTTATTTATTTATTCTTTTTGTTACAGTTTTGCTTAACTTTCGTAGGAAACTAAAAAAAAAATGTCTAGCTCAAGCTGGACAAGTCACACAATCAAACTTCCAAGTAAGAAGAAAAATGTGATAATATAATGCATACATAGATATTAGCATACATAGATGTTGATATAAGAAGGGAAAAAAAAAAGAATTAATTTCATCCCAAGTTAGGCAAACTTTACAACAAATAAATTATCAGTTTTATAATTCATTTTGAACTCTTCAACTCCAAAAAAAATCAATCTGATTAATTTCCCAAATCAAACAAAAAGCCACAAAACACTTACATATGTATTAAGCTGCCTAACAAAGCTGGAGAAATTGTTGTGCTTGAAATACATGGGAAGCAAATCTTTGGCAAATTCTGTTGGATTCCACACCACAAAACTGCAGCCATTTGGACTCCAAGACACAATGGGATCAGTCATTTGGTCATCCACCAGTTCATATGTCTTTAAAAGAAATGGCGCTGGTGCACTAGAAGAACTACTTCCTTGTGACCCTTCCATAACAAAACACTCAAAAAAAAAAAAACCAAAATAATGTGCAAGAAACTTGATTCTCTGAACTCCAAATCCAAAACCCAGAACTTGAATTTTTGAAAGAATCTAAGATTGACAAAAGCTGACTGATCTCTGATGTTGTTTCTTCAAAGACCAAAATCCCAAGTGTTTGGATATGAAATATGGTGAGAATCAATTCAGAAGTTGAGAGAGAGGAGAAATTGAGATTTCTAGAATGAAGAAGGGATTTGTCTCGTGAAAAGCTCTGACTTTTCAGAAGAGAGCAAAAAATGATATTAAAAAGAAAATATGGTCACGACTTGGAGAGGAAGAAAGAGCAAAAAACAGGGGAAAGAAGATTGGAATGGTCTCCAAGTTTGAAATTCCAAGCAGTGGCTTTGACAAAAAATAAAAGTTAATGGGGTTTGGTTTTTTCAATGGAAAATTTTATATAATTAGTGGGTTTCTTTCTTCTATTTTATTTTATTTTATTTGATTTGTGGGTATAGGCTCTAAATAAACAAACGCGGTCTTGGAATTATTCTGGTGTAAGTAAATAATTACTTGAAAGGAAAAGAGGTAGAGAAAAAGAGAGGAGATTGAAAGAGAAATAATTTTTGTCCCAAAGAACACCAGCGTTGACTTGACTGCGGCATTTTTGGCTTCTTCGATCCACGTTCAACGAATAAACATGCACACCCACTATGGTCAAATATGGTATAGTTTGCTGTTCACCTCCCATTAGGGACGTGGCCACATTTGACGTCATAATTCTCTCTCTCTCTCTTTATCTTTTCAGAAATTATATTAGATATATACTAAAAAAATGACAGATTCACTGTTCATCTTACAATGCAATGAACAGTATTTTTTCTTTTTCTCTTATTTTTTTTCTTCAGATGAATTTTTTATTTCCGTTATGTCCTTTTGAATGTAAAGTTATTATATTGCCCTTTAGTTTAGTTTCTTTTGTTTTGGTTTGTTTTGACCGTTTCGATCATTTACACTTAGATTGAGGGGGCGTTTGGTAGAGGGATTCGTCCCCTGATTTGAATCATGATTCGTGATTTGCTACAGTATTTTCTCTCACAAAAAATACACGTAAATCAAAAATAGTTCGAATCACATGGTTTGAATCCTCCAACCAAACGAACCCTGAGTGTTTTTTTCTTTTTGTTTCCTGCCTTCTACAACCTTCTATAGCCTTCTACATCTTTATTTTTTTTTCTTCGTTTCTAGAGCAACTTTTCTTCCTTCTGTTTGTTGCACCCTTTGTTACTTTTTCCTTTGATTGTTTAATTTCCGCCGTTGTCTACTCTTTCTTCTGTCTGTGTGGGTTTTGTTGCTTTCTTTTTCTCCATACTAATATGGTATTTCGTTTCTTACTTTGTTTGTTTTCGATTTGTTTTGCAAAATTATTTTCTTCTACCGTTTCTTCTCTTCGTCTTGATGTTTTTCGGTTTTGGGTTATGATGTTCTGTTCTCCTTACGTTCTCTTCCATTCTGGATGTTTTGTTTATTCTCGCACTAATATGATGTTTTGATTTTTACTTTAATTTTTTCCTTTCGATTTCTTTCTTCTTTGATGATTTAGGGTTTCGATATTTAGAGTTAATCTCCTTTATTATATGTATTTATTTATTAAAATCTTCTTTATACTAATTTTCTTTGGTTAATTTTTGTAAATGTTGATTGTAATTTAGAGTTTTTTTATCTGATTTTTCTTTGCATTTTTTTCTTGTAGGGGCATTTCGAAAACGTTTTGTCTTTCAATTTTTTAAATACATTCAGCATGGAAATCTGCAGAGCTCATATTCAGCATAGAAATGTGCTGATTTCATAGGTTTTTTTTTATCATAATCGGTTTGTTCTTAAACCCTTAGCCCTCTTTTTCAGTGTTTTGTTTGATTTTCGTCAAAATTAGGACCTTTTGTTTGTTCTTGCTTCTCTACTGCTTCGTTGTTCATTGTTGATTAGTTTTTGTTCTTCGTTTTGGATTGTTAGATAGTTCATTCTTTGGCTTTTTTTGGGACTTTGCTGTGGCGTTTTTTTCTTAAATCCTTAGCCCTTTTTTTCGGTGTTTCATTTTATTTTCCTCAAAATTAGGGCCTTTTGTTTGTTCTTGTTTCTCTATTGCTTGGTTCTTCATTGGTGATTAGTTTTTTTGCGGTTTTGATGGAACTTTTTTCTGTCCAATCTAGTTTTCATGCAGGGCTTTTGCACTGTTCTTAGCTCATTCTTTATTGGGCTGATTCGCGATCCTAGTTTGGTTTCCTTCGTCCCCTTACTGAAGTGCATGTTTTATGTTCTTTTTCTTTTTTTGCTTATAGTAATTTTTTTTCCTCTATTTTTCATAACTATCTTTTGTGGTTCCCGCTTGAACTAAATTTCTTTGCATGTTTATTGGTTTTTTCATTCGGTGGTTGCTTTCTTTAACTTTTACCGACAAAATATAGATATTTTTCTTTGTTCCCTCCTTCATTCCATGCAGTGTATCGATCATTCTGCATATCTCCTTTTGCATTTATTAATTTGCTCATCTATATTGTTTAAGATAGTGCTTTGTCTGCTTAACTTGATGACTTGTCCTCATTTTGTTGCTGAGGTATTAAATGGATTGATAATTTTTTGCTCTATTGTCTCAGATACATTAAATATGTGGCAGAAAAAAATTGTTCTATCATTTTTTTCCCTGCTTTTTTTTGTTGCTTTTTTCTTCTTCTCAGGTGATTACCATTTAATCTTTATTTCATTCTTTTATTTTTTTCAACGCCCTAATGGACTGCTCTTATCATTTGATTAACCAATATTATTTTATATCCCCTGGAAACTGCTGCTCTATTCTTACGTGTGAGGCTTTTATAGGATATGTACTTTTGCTAATTGTTTTTCTCCTTTTCATTTACAAAAACCGGTTTTGTGTATGACTCTATTTTGCACTTTCCTGTTTGTTTCCCCTGCGCTTTACTCTTTTTCTTCTTCACTCCACCCTCGGTCATTTACTGCTCTACTTCATTATCCATCCTTTAGTGTTTTATCCTGTTATTTCTACATCCTTGCTTTTTCTTTCTTCGCATTTACTTAGCTGACACTTCATACCCGAAGAAGTATTTATAGCGTACCAGGTATTATTAATGATTCTTGCATATCTTCATTTGTTTTGTTTGTACTTTATTGTCTTTTGTATTCTAGCCTTAATTATTTAATGCTTTACTTTATTATCAATTATTTATTGCTTTCTTTTGATATTTTGGTATTGCTTCTTTTCCTTTGTTTGTATTTAGTTGATCCAGATATCGCAGTCAAAGGAATATTTATAGCATTTGAGGTACTATTCATAACTGTTATCCATAATTCCTTAATATCTCTTCCTTATATTGGATATATTGGATCCCTTTAGCGATATTCATATGTGATATATGTGTTTTACAACTTTTGTTCATAAATTTTTTTCCCTTTCCTTCTTTCTTTCCTATCTTTTATTCATTACTAAATTTTACTGGCATTCATTATTAGTTTGGTTTTCTCTTTGATGACATCTATATACATATCTCCACTTCATAGATATTGTTTCTAACTGCTTTCTTAATAAAAGAACAGTGGTTATAGTGACTTTTAGGATGTTTTTAAATTTGTTTTCCTTTCTTCCATTCTTATTTTGTCCAAGTTTTTAACTAAAAAAGATTAACCACACTATTTTGTTCTTTTGTTGGCTGTTTTGATCTTCTTTTTTTCATAAGATACTCATTCCATTCAAAACTTATCTACATAAATATTACTTCCCTATTTTCATTACTACATTACTTTCCTATTTCTATTACTACATTTAGTCTCTTTTTTCCTTTTCTTTTTCGGTTCACATCTTTTGGTCCCATTATCTATTTATTGTGGCAATGATGATTCTAATTCATTTTGACATATTAAGTTTTATATGATTTGTCTAAGAATCGCTGTGAATGTATCCTTCTTATTTGAATTTTGATTTTCTTTATGCTTATTTACTAAAATCTGTATTCTGTCATCTTTTATCTCTTCTTTACTAAAACTATCTTTTTGTTTATGTCACTAAATTTTTCTGTCATTGCCATTTTCACTTAATATTTCTGATTCTTGCACTTTTTTCTGTCTTTTTTAAAGCCTTACTTTGAATTATCCTCCTGCTTTTTCCTTTCTTTTTCTCTCTTATTTTACAAAAAAATTTATGACCTTTTTCCTACTCTATCATTTTGCTGGAAATTTTTCTCCTCTATCTTTCATTGCTTCCATTACTGTCAGTTTGGACTTCTTTATTCGTTTTGATCAAAATAAAATCTCAGAATTGATTGATTACTTGATATCTCTCATGATTGCAGCTTTTTTTGCTGTTTCAAAGCCTCATTTTCAATTATCTAACTTCTTTTTTCTCTCATTCTATCCCTTATTTTACAATAAATTTTTGCATGTTTTTTCTGCTCTACACTTTTCCCTTAGATTTCTCTCCTTTATATTTTATTGCTTCCATTGCTATGAGTTTAATCTTTTTTGGCCATTTTCATTTGAATGAAATTTCAAAATTCATTGCTTACTTAATTCATTCATTTTGATGCATTCTGTTTACTTGTACTTTTCATTTCATATTCTTTATTATGACACTTTTTCTCCATCTTTTAAACCTTCACTTTGAATTATTATATTTTTTTCCTTTTTCCCTCTACCGTGCTATTTTTTTGCTTTCTTTCTTTGTCCCTTATTTTAGACAAAGCTTTGCAGTCTTTTCCTGGTCGATAATTTTATTGAAGATTTCTGTCTTTTATATACTACTTTTATTACTGTGGGCTAAAGCTTTTTTGTCATTTTCTTTTAACTCGAATTTGAAGATTCATCTTATATCATTTTCTTTCCTACTTATTGTTCTCGTTCAATGTACAGATTTTCTCATCAAAGTCAACAAATTGAGTCCTCAACAACATCAACACAGTCAACACAATCAATTGAAGAACAAAAAATGGAAAACAGAAAAACAATCATGAGCTAAAAATGCTGGATTAGCAAAGTAATCAGGTTCGCACTAGTTATGTTTTCATGTTCTTTTCCTTTACTTATACTATTGAAACTGATAACTTTTCATCATTCATATAGGGTGCAAAATTTATAGTACGGGCAACAATAACTGAATTCTCAACAGATCAAGGTTGGTACTATAACTCTTACCCCATATATTACCGACAACTAAAGTAATCAAGCATTGGTGGTGGTGTGATAGTCATGGACATATAAAAACAACGTCATCTCCATGGTAATTAACATCATAAATATACTTTTGCTAAAATTTACTCACTTTAATTGCTTACAATAAAAAACTTATTATAACAATAAATTATTATCATACATTTTGCAGGTACAGATTAAATGCACAAAATCAATAGATCCATACGCACCAGATCCAAA